CATTGCCTTGAGTTCCCAAATGGTTAACACATACCGAATTTTACGCCACTTCGCGTAAAACGGTTCGTGAAACCCTGGAAATAGAGGTATTGGTATACTAAGGTATTGTATTAAAGTCCAGTTTATATAATAGTTTATTTTATGCCCGCTGTTCGATATGCATATGCGAGGTTGGTATGCATAGCGCGACTAACGTGAAGTGTTAGTGCCAGTAGTTTCTCATCAAAGGGTTTCTATATGGTCTGGTGAGAAATTTGTGAGTGTGTGGGAATTGAACCTGGGTTGGCAGTATCATAGGATGACATTATAACGACTAGGCCAAATTGATGTGTAGGTGATGAGGGCGTCGGCTTATGCTAGACAGGCGGAGACTGTCTTGGGCAATGGCACAGACAGGGAAAGAGGAGGCACTGGGTAAGGATGATGCAGTCTTGCAATCTTGCAATCTTGCATTTCCTCAACGCCAGGTTTGTCGGTCTCCGTAACCATGGGGCGACTTGTTATCTCAACGGCTTGTTGCAGTCGCTTTATCATCTGGGTCGATTTAGGGAAATTGTATATTCGGTGGATCCGAGGGCTGAGCGGGAACGTAAGATACTCTTGTGCGCGCGCACAGGGAAGATTTTGGGCATGCGTGCACATATCTTTGGTGGTTAGGATTGCTGGCTGAGGATGAGCTTGCTGGTGGTGACGGTGGTGACAGTTTGGCGTGTATGAGTCCGTCGGGGGGCGGTCGGCTTAGTTTGCCGATAGCTCTGCAGAAGGTGGGAAATCTTGTGGTGTTGTTGGACATGTATGACAGAGATTGAACATAGGGATGGTTGATCGGGTGCTTTATTGTGAATTTTTCCGTAATTTTTTTTTCGTGAAAAAATGGGAAATTTTATCGAAAATTTGAGTGAGATCATTGAATGAATGATAAGATATAACTTTGTGATGAGAAAAAAAATATTTTCATTTGAGATCTCTGCAGTGGAATTGGACTTAAGGTTATGAGATAAAATTTTCCTTTGGAGGTTATTATTTTCCCAAAAAAACGGGAAAA